CCTGAAGGTGACTCACTCTGTGTCTTTATTGGCACCAGAAAGCTCATTGCTTTGGTTGAACTGTAACCTCCTCTGTCTTTCCTTCTCCGGCAGGGACCTTCGGCAGCCCCGGGAGGCGCGGCCGGCAAACCTACACGCGCTACCAGACGCTCGAGCTGGAGAAGGAGTTCCACTTCAACCGGTACCTCACGCGGCGGCGGCGGATCGAGATCGCGCACGCGCTGTGCCTCACTGAACGACAGATCAAGATCTGGTTCCAGAACCGAAGGATGAAGTGGAAGAAGGAGAACAAGCTGATCAACTCCTCCTCGTCGTCATCCGCCTCCTCCTCTTCTTCCACTGTGAACGGTGCGGAGGAAGAGGAGAAACGGACGGAGTGAAAGAAAAAACAGATCAAAGAGAAAGAGGAGTGTGGATGAAAAGGCATGCTGATTATTCCTTTCCCCTCCCTGTCTCAAAGTTATTCCAAACGTTTGTCTGGTGAGGAAACTCCGGGACAAAAGTCACCTATGTTTTCTTTTTTTTTTTAGCCAGAAGGGATGAGGAAATGAAGAGGGGAAAGATAATTCCTTTGTGATCCCTCTAATATCAGCACCCACCTAAAAATATTTCCAACTGCATTTCACAAACCATATTTGTTTCTCCGTGTGGTCTGAAAATTGGGAAATCATCTGTTTAAGACTCTGGAGAAGCAACTGCGAGACTGTGGAAAGGACAAATGAAACGAAGAAACGGGGGAAAGAGAAACAGCAACAGTGGTGGTTGGGCAGGCTTTGGCATTAGAAAATACAATAAAGAAATAACCAGCCACCCACCGGCTACAAGCTGTTCTAAGATACACTGTCTTGTTGCATTCCAAGAAAAACCACCTAATTGTTAATTCTACTTAGTTTTTATTTTTGTCAAATGTACTTCCTATCTGTCAGGCACTTGTTTTGAAGCTTTAGGACTCGACTTGGAACTGTTCTTTTCTTACTTTGTAAACGTGTTGTGTGTATTATAGGCCTACCTTCATTTACATGTGCAAACGCGCTCATGCACACAACGACGTGGGGAAGAATAGCTAGGCTATTTTTAAAATGTATGTGTCATATGGTGTTCATATTTAAACTGTATAGAAATACGCAAGTAAAAAAAAAGAATCACCTTGTGAGGTGAAAATAATGTAATTGTGGGTGGGGGGTGGGGGTAATTTAACCTTTCCAGCTGTTTTACACTATAGAAAGAGGGGTTGTTAACCTACTGATGTTATCTCCAAACTACCTAAACGTTCAGGAAAGTGTATATTTTAAGAATTTTTACATTGTTTGTTTATGTTAGTGTTTTTTGTCACGTAATTCCGTATACTACCTATGAGAATTGTTCAATAAAATGTAAAGAATGTATGGAGAGAGTTTTATTTATTTCTGTAGTTGATCATTTGTTTATTATTTTATTCGGACCCACACAAACAGTGATATTTGAGTTCAGAACCAAAAGTGAGCATTGAGAAGGTTTTATTTTACGATTTTCACCTTTGAGCGTTTTACTTGTATGAGTATGCACGCGCATATTTAAGTAAGCTCGCACGGCGTTGCGGAGGGGAAGTGACAAGGGGCGCGAGCTGCTGCTGACCGCGCGCTGACCTAATTGATGACCAGACCGCGGGGAGAGAAAGTTGATCTGGCCTCGAGCCGACCAGCCAGACACGTCACACATATACACAGACACTTCACCCAGACAAAGTGGACAATGTCCTCGTGACCCTTTGAACTCTACGAGTCCCCTAAGTGAGCGCGCGCACGCTCCATATCTCCGAAGTCTTGAGGTTCCCTGGCGCACGCGCGTATAAGAGCAAGATGTGTTTTCTCTAAATGTGTTTATTTATTTATTTTTTGCCAAGAATGATCAACGTTGACACATGAACGCCAACAATAACAGCGTTAGCATCAACTAGGAATCAAACAGGAAACGCGCCATGAGGACACTGGGTAACATGTACTGGATGTGTTGTATACACTGTTATATTATAAACACTTAGCTTTCCTAGAAACTTTATCTTAATAAAGTAAAGTAAACACTCAAAATCAATACTATGCAGGTAATAAGGAGCATAATTATATTCTGTAATAACAATTCTGTTTATATTTGGAGTAGGTTTATCAACAACACACTGACACAAAAAACTCCTATTGTCATGCATGTTTTATTTCATTTTATTTATTTATTTTCCTTTGTTTGTTTGATCATAGTGGGGAGACGCATGTGCTGCAGCCTTCCATCCCATCCAGTACTACTCCACTTGTTGTCTTGACCAGACTGAACTGGAGTTGATATATTAAGTTTGGAAATAAACGCTTGTTCAGTTGTAGGGCAGAGTGCCAGTGTAATAGATGGCAAGGGTTCTCAGTAAATAAGTACCATGCTGAGAAAAATAAAACACCGTCAGCAGCCAGTGTGCAGGGCAGGGAATCAGGGAGTTTACATTTAATATGGTTTCATTTGGTGCAAGAAGCTATGAAAATCACTGTTGTTCTGCAGTAAGACTCACTTAGACTCACCGCTGAGTGATCTCACTGAAATATTATTTGGTAGAGTTTAAGCAGTGGAACAGGCAGAAAGTTTGATTTGTGCAGTTAATGTAAAGGCCTCTTCTTTGGCTGTGACCATGCCAGGGTTTGGTGTTTCGATTCCCACAGAGAGTAGGGCTGCTGTACATGCTGGCAGATGTTCTATGTTAAACACAGTGGAAATGGTTTCACTGTGACCCAGAGGGCTCATTTTACCGACTAGCACACATTAACTGCACACTCTGTCTGCGGTTTAGGGCTTTTCATATTTTGGGCAAAGAATCTTAGGCTTCTTTAGTTTTTATATGCATCATATTGTCCACCAGAACTCTTGTTCCTCTGCAAAGTTTTGAAAAGCTGCTTTGTTGAATGTTCTGACTTTATGAGTTGAGTCTCATTAGAAAATAAGATAGAAGAAATATGTACCATTTCAACTTCAGTTAAAATATAATCCCCCCAACCCCCCCACACACACACACACACACATACACTGCAGCATTTTATCATAACATTTATATGACAGGAAAAGAAAAAACGAATAATAACGGAGAGCAGTACACAAAGAAAATGTAATACAGAAACACAACAGTAATATCAAGTACAACATTTGAATGTTCAGCTGTTTTGAAATGTTGTATTCTGTGCTAAAATCTACTTGAATGAGAAGCATTGACCTGTCTTATCTCAAAGAGTGGAATCACGTTTGCACCACAGTGTTCAGCATGCTGTTTCATGGTAAAAATATTCAAAGGGGTTTTGCTTATCTAAATATAATTAGAGGAACTGGGTCAGTGCCTCCTACGTTCTGTGGCTGCGGCGTACAGGCCATTCCTGGTACAATTGTTTTTAAGCCTTTCGGCCTATTTCAGGCCAGCACTCTTATGATTTAGTGTTGATATCCAAACTCCTGTAGGTAAAATAATAAATCTGGTATCTGTTTCAAGAATCCTTAGCCCTCTGTTGCCTCATTTTGTAGCTCATGCCTGGTTACTTTCACATTTTCAAGATGGTTTCCATTCCAATTGCTGCCAACGCTCAGTGTGTGAGCTGCTAAAATGTGGTCTGCATCTACACACACACACACACACACACACTCACACACACACACACACACACACACGCACACACCTGGCTGAAATGCATCTTAACCCATGAGTCAACAAATCATAAATCTGTAGATTCCCATGCAGTTTGGACATCACAGATCAAGTTTACCATTTCTGTGCAGCTGCAAGAGGGGCTGCAAAGAGAAGAAGCGAGGGAGGGGAGATGAGAGAGCCAGACAGGCAGACAAGCAAGAGAAAGAAAGAAGCACAGTTGTAGGCCAAACAAGTCATCTATCAAAGTCTTGGTCAGTTTTCTGTCAACATACTGCCTGGCTGACGAAAGAGTCAAAAGTACATTGATTCTAATAGGCTGTGATATCTGTGGAAGACGACTACTGCAGCAGGGAGGGTATGTCAGCAAGTGGGAGCATTGTGAAACACTGACACGATAGAATTGTAACGGAGTTGATTTTTGGTTGTTGAGGCCCCTACTTAATGAATAAGGTGAAGAAATTGCTTATTGATGATTTGGTAAATGATATCTCAACCAAAATACAAGAGGAATCCTCTTTTTGACTGTGGTGTATGACTGATGGAGGCAGGCTTCACCCGACCCTGATCACATCACTGTATCGGTCAAAGAATGACGCAAGAAGGCTCAGCATTTATTGTGCAGGAACATCACTGAGGTTTTTTTTATTGTTACTTGTCTATTGTTATTATTATTATTATTAATAATATTTGTGTAGGCCAAAATGTGGATGGAAAAGTTCACCTCTTCCACACACTGCTCCCTAAACTCAAAACTGAAGGTGGGAAGAAGTATCCGGAGCTTGTTTTTATTGGTTTGTCTGCCGTGTTAAATACTGCACTATTATTTATTGTTAGTTATTTTATGGTTTATGGTCACTGGCACCTAATTTCCAGCCTAAGCAAAGGTCAATTAACAGGCCTGACTGATGAGACACACACATGCGGTGGGGGAGAGAAAGTTGAGGAGACATCATTTTGTGTAACAGCTCTCAAAGACTCTTTTTGGAGTTTCTCCCTGTCGCCCTCCTTCTGTCTTTTTAATCAGTGCAATAAATTATATCTGCAGTAGGTGGCGCTCTGAGCTCACCCCCGGCACCCCCAGCAGCCGAGTAAAGGGTGAAACAGAGAGAGAGAGCGCGCTTCCCCCGCCCATCCCTTCATCATTAGAAACCTCAGAGCATGAATTACCTCTCCAAAGTCATCGGCGAGAATTTACGACTGGTCAACAAAAGCACGTGACCGCCCCCCCTCCTTCTCTCAGTCTCTCTCCTCCCTCACCTCACCCCTCACCTCCCCATCACACACACACACACACACACACACAGCTCCATCCAACAAACACACACACACCACCCCACCCCCATATTTGGACGGCACATACATAGCTAAAAACGAAGTACAGTGCAACGCCATAATTCACTAATACATCATAAATCGTTGAAACTACCCGCGTTATAACGACCAAGAGAAATCTAACAAATCAAGCGCCCCTTAGTACTCAAGTGTAAGCCTGCAACTCTCTAAAACAACCTAAATGAGCTCTTACTTTGTAAACTCGTTCTCGGGGCGCTACCCAAATGGCCCCGACTATCAACTGCTAAATTATGGAACCAGCAGCGGCGCAATGAACGGCGGGACATACAGGGACTCTTCCTCCGCCACCATGCACCATGCGACGGGCTCTTATGGCTACAGCTACAATGGCATGGACCTGACCATCACCAACCGGGGAGGGGGGAGTAGCAGTGCCGCCAACACCGGAGGACACTTCGGAGGCGGCTCGGTCGTCGGGGACTCCCGGGGCTTCGGCTCCCCTGCTTCAGACAGGGGCTTCAGACAGCCGTCCAGCTGTTCCCTTGCTTCAGCGGCAGACTCCCTCCTGTCACACACCAGTGGAGAGACCAAGCGGGGCGCACAGAGCTCGTCTCCCCGCTCGGAGCAACCAGGAAGCGGTAATCTCAGCCCTCCAAACCTGTCCAACTCCTCCGGCGGGGGTGGCGGCGGCGGCACGGTGCAGCATTTCACCGAGCTGGGCGATGCGTCGCCAGAGACCGAGGAGTTGCAGCACAACAGGGACGCCGGCCACGGCAGCAACCCGCCACAGAGGACCGGGCAACGCTCAGGCACCACAGATATTCCCCTGGATGAGAAAACTGCACATTAGCCATGGTACATGCTGCTCTCATGTTTACAGCTTACTTTTGTGTATCCTAGACGTTCCAGGGAGATAATATTCACAATGCTGGCTTTATAGATTTTAGGCTTTATGTTTGGACAGAGGCTGCTGGTGACAGTTCAGTGCTTATGGAAGCTACATAGGGACGCATGGTGCTCTGTGCCTCTTTGTACACACACTAAAGATTCAGCAGCCTTTTTGCTGCTTTCATTTGATTTGAATAAACTGGCTGCTGGAGAATAGCTGAAAAAGACACACAATTAGACACGATTCCTCGCCAAGCCATTTCCAACTCAGTCAATTTCATATTTTCTTATTACTATCAAAAATCAGTCAGGTGTTTGAGCCTGAAAAGTACAAAATATCTGTTTTATTTTGCGTCTCGGCTTTATGAATATAAAGAGTTGTGCGGAATTTCATTATTTATCTATGTTTTAATTTGGAAATCAGAAAGTAACTTAAAAGGACATCTGGCAACCCTCTGGTAAACAGTTGAAAAATGGGTATTCATGTATTTTGTTAGTCCATCGGGGTGCGATTCGTTTTACATTTCCCTCCTGTATAGAAGCTAGGGACGCCGGATGGTTGCCCCCTCTGTCTTTTCTCCCTCTTTTTTTTATTTTGGCAAATTCCACAAAAGTGTCATAAATCTGTCAGAAGAGAGCCAAAGTGGGTAGCAAAGCCCAACAGGCTGAGGAGCGCAGACTGAGCTGGGTAAGAAAAGAAAAAGAGGGAGAAAAGAAAGAGAGGCCAGAAAGGCTTTGGAAGCTTTTTACTCCTTTGAAATGTGAAGCTTTATTACATGTGGGAACTTTATTGGGGAGTGGAGGCAGAGTACGGGGCAATAAAATCCTGACGGGAGCTAGCTGGAGTGAAAAGAAAGAAAGAAAATATAGAGAGGGGAATGGTGAGGAGTGAGGGCTGGTGCTTAAAAAAGAAAACAGAAATGTGCCAAATAAAAGCAAATCTTTTAGCACAGGCTCCGAAGTGGAAATGGCAGGAATAAAATGTATCAAGAAAGATTGCTGTTTGGATAAAGGACAGTTTTACGCACCACTGTTGTGCCTTTACGCACGTTGATTCCGTAGTGTGTGTATGTGTGTGGTGTGTATATAAGGGATGGACACAGTACATGTTTGTGAATTATAATATTCCGTCATACAGTTGTTGAGCCTTTTAGAACAGCTGGTTGTTCTGTTTTACTGGGCTGCACCGTAGAGTACTGCAAATTGTTTGTTGGTGCTTTGTCCACCTACTGTTTGTGTGCATTTCTACACGCTCACCCGTTATTGTCACATGTTGATGCGTCCAGACACGCTCCCTAACACCATTCTGTCCGCTCCAAACCCTCAGATATGACAGGCCCCGACGGGAAACGGGCGCGGACGGCGTACACCCGCTACCAGACGCTCGAGCTGGAGAAGGAGTTCCATTTCAACCGGTACCTCACGCGACGGCGACGGATCGAGATTGCGCACGCGCTTTGCCTCACGGAGCGGCAGATCAAGATCTGGTTCCAGAACCGGAGGATGAAGTGGAAGAAGGACAATAAACTGAAAAGCATGAGCCTCGCCACCGCAGGCAGCGCCTTCCAGCCCTAAAAATCAACCCATTAAAAAAAAAGCCATCCATCCATCTGTTTGGAAATGTTACTACAGGCTTCCCAGAAGGGAAACAAGAGACAAAACAGTTTGAAAAAATTAGGAAAACTTGAAGAAAATCACAAAAGACAACAGGAGAAGCCAGCAAGTAAGGGCTCAAAAGAAGAAGAGGGTGATGAAGAAACTATCACAGATTCCAACACTTTCCTGTTATCGCCTGAGTATTGTACAGCAGCACAGCACTTTTTATTTGTTCGGCATGGTGGTGTTTGATGTTTTAGGGCAACATAAAAATGACTGTGGTACTTGCTCTTGTCAACAAAAAAAAAAAAAAACAACAAAAAAGTAGAAAAAGGGGAAAGAAATACAGTGTTCTTGTATGTTGTTGTCTTTTTAAAATCCGGGACAGGAGTCCAGGATGAATATACTACCTAACGTTTCTACCGACGTCCTACCTTACAACCTTGCTACCTACCTGTTGTTTAATGTCTAAATAGGCCTATCGTTTTTGTGTCAAGTGCGATGTTTTGTAATTGACAAAGTGCTTTCGATAAAAGTTAGCATGTGAGCTCTTATTGTAAGTTATTTACTGCCGGTAACGCGTTTATAACCCATTAGTTTGAGATCCCTTCCCTCCCTCTTTGTCGGTTTCTTTCCATTTAAATATGCTCCTTTCACTGAGTGTGTGTTTGTCAGAAAAACAAGCAGTCAGCAAGCAAAACAGCCCTGCCTACATCTCCGTGTCCATCCATAATGTTGTTGTGTATAGCTCTTTTATTCCAAAAAAATGTAACTGTATATTATTGTTGTTATTACTGTAATTACTGGATCTACGTTTCAGAAAGGATGTACATAGATATTGACATTTTTAAATGTGGCCAGTTTGTAGTTGCTGTATGCCTGTGTGTGCGCGCGTGAATGTGTGAGTTTGGCTGGGTGAGCGTGCGCATTAGGGGAAATCGCTACCGTCCTGTAAGGCCTGTGAGCTTTCTGCCAATAAGCTTTTTGTATTTGTTTGTACCTTGGAGTAAAATAATAATAATAAAGTTTCTCATACTGGTCATCAAAAGCAAACAGACTTAACTCGCTGTGTACTAAGCTGCCGCACAAATGGCTTCCATGGGGTTGGAAACCATGGCATTTGGTCAAACGCTCAGGTTGTGGAGGGGCAGTGTCCGCCACAGACAATTCAGCCCAGGAACCTTTGTGCCAGTCTCCGTTATGAAATGATTGTTAGTCATATGTCAATGCAAAGCTGCATCTGATAGCATCAGCTGTGAACTGCCAAACACTGAGGTCAATGTGTCACATTAGAAAATGTATTTGGCTAAAAAGCAAACAAACAAAACGTGCAGGGCATCAGAGCGCAAGCCTTCTGTAGGTGTGGGTTACTTGTCCAATCCGACTCCAATTCTTACAGAAAATTCTCGGTTGATTTGTTTCCTTTCACTACCTGCTAGGAGCAAAATCTAATGCAAACTAACTGTTAGCTCCCAGTTTTAGAAAACGCCAGGTTGTGGGGGGGAAAACGTACTTTTTTTCTGAGCAGTAAAGACGTAAACATCTGACCAGAGGCCTGTCCTCAATTTTCCATACCTGACTTGAACCCTGAACACAACATTTCCAAGGCGACTACCTTGTGACCATCTAACAGCATCAAAGCGCCGAGCTCACCAATCACTGCATAAGCTGGATAAAACTCACACACATACACAGTCAGGCTAATTTTCATCACCGCTGACCAAGTCTGACAAGACAACAACCTCCCCTCGGTGATCAGTTTTGCTCTAAACGGCCTCCGTTTTCCGTCCCAGCGGCGGTCTCTCCCGGCCAAATTAGATTACCTTCTCCTGGTTTCCAGCTGTAAACAAACAAATGAACTTTTAAACTCACCGGCTAATGCTGCTGTAGCTTCTCTGTTCATACAGGCTCAGGTCCTGCTCCGAGCCTCATTTGGACACAACCTCTATCTCCTGCCTCCTGTCTGTGTATGTGTGTTGAGATATTTTTGTAAAGCGAAGCCCCTTTTGCTTTGGGCTAAACTATATAAAAGAAGGAAGCTATGACATTTACATGTCAAACGGATGATGGTTTTTATCTCCAAGTTGGATCGTAAAGATCAGGCCTGGTCTCAGACTGATACCTCTCACTGGCTCTCCTCTGGTCACGTGGGGTCCATAAAGTTAGTTTTATGGTTTTGGGGAGTTGACAATGTACTATATATTTCACATTCTAGAAAGCAAGTGACGGTTTAACGGCTTCGCGGGGATCCTAAAGGGGTCAGTAAAGTAGAGACAGTCCGGGAGAGAGAGGGAGTGTGTGTATGTGTGCGAGAGAGAGAGAGATCAGGCCACTACTATCGGCCGCACTTTTGTTCTGGTTCACACTCGGAGTCCGGCGAGCTTCGGTCTGAACGCTGGGACTCCGGTAAAGAGCAAGAGTCAGGACCCACAGTAAGTAGTTTCTGAAGGCTGCCTGTAAGTGGGGGCTAAGTAGAGAGGGAAGGGTGTGGGGGGGTGGTGAAGACAGAGAGAGAGAGCTGTGTGATTAGCATGTCACTCACTCACTCTGTACTGCTGCTGTATTACTGCTCCGGTGTGTTCCAGATATTTGAGATTCGTTATTGTGGCTGGTCCGGGCCGAGCCACGGTGGTGGCGTCATAGGTGGGGCGATATGCTGTACGTATGCGCGCCCGTATCCGTGCGTGCTTTTGTGTAAGCCCCCATGCGTGTGTATGCGTACGTGTGTAATGATGGCATACATGAGACTCAGTGTGGAGTAGTGGCTGGCAGTGAGAAGAGTGGTTTACATGCATACAGTGGTTGCACATTTGTGTGTGTGTGTGTGTGTGTGTGTGTGTGTGTGTGAAAACTACCTCGGCCAAAGTAAAATAGAGGAAAAGGGGAGAGCGTCATTCTGACGCTAAAGCTGCCTGAGATGAGTTTCAGGTTTACCGTGCGGTTCTTTCCTCTTAAATGTTTTAAAATGGACTTGTTGGAGTTCTTAAATAATGCATGCAATGAAAGGCTCGTGACCTGAGTCACAAATCACACTTTGTTGATTGTTCTTTGCCTGACTTTTGAAGGGGTGAAACTGATCTGCCTCGTGATCTCTTAACTTCTTCTTCAAAGGGGAAAATATATTAATCATGTTTTAAACCCAAGTCATATTTCATCCCTCATCTCTTTTATTGGCAGCGCGTTTGACAAAGAAATGTTTCTTATTATTACATGTTTGTTCTGTCGCTTTTACGTACAGCCTTCGTGTGCGTAGAAAGGGTTTGAAGGTTTGGAGAAATGTTCATATGTGCTAACCAACACACACACACACACACACACACACACACACACACACACACACAGAGTCTTTAGTGATATGCTTCCCTGGGCACAAGGAAATATTTGTCCTTCCCCCGTCCTCGTATTTTCCAGGCCGGATGGGTGTGAGAGAAAAGCATCTTAGATACAAACATTCCCAAGTCTCACCATTAGAGTCCTTGCAGGTTATTTGACGCTAAAGCTTTGGCCTGTTTGACTCCACATGTGTGTTCAATTTAATTCAGCTTTTCTGTTGCAGACCAAAACTAACCAAACCAAACTAGACCCAAATGAACTTACAAATCCCCAAACGTAAAGCAGCTCCAGAAATCCCAGACTACCTTTAACATATTGTGCTGTCTCATAAAATATTATATCAAGTGCTACTGAGCTTTATGAAGGCGAGGAGCACCACAACACGGAACCAAATATTAGGGGAATTATTGACACATATGGAACAGTGACAAATACAGTGATAACATGCAAACATCAGTGGCACACTAATGCAATAAACACTCCAGATTAAACCCATCAGTCACACATTTAAACCACATGACAGAAAAAAAAACGTTGTGTGACAGTAAAGTCATCTTACAATCAGCAAAGGCCTTCACTGTGACACACCATTTAACACCCAAATTATTCTTAAACAACATAAAAGACAAATGTGAAAGGAACTAGTTCAGACCGGCCGTGTTGACAGAACAGTATTAAATATTAATTGGATTTTTCCAATACTAATTAGATCAGTGCCACCAACAATTTTTGTTAAAACACTCTTATAGAAATGTAAAAGGCTACATTTAAAGCATGTCATTCAAAAATGACACCGATACGTAAGAACATTAATTAAACACTAAGGCCAATGGAAAACAAATCCTTTTAAAGAGGAACAAGATAATCCGAAGCAACATGTCTGAGAATGTGATACCCTATCTGGCTGTTGGCTCAAACCAACAGCAATACATTTTGGACACAGCTCAAATGTCAAATCAGAAACTTTATCCCCCGTGTTGTGGAAAGTGGAGGTGTTAATAGTAGCTACAGTGTCGGACTCTTTCCACGGAGCCTGTACACCTTTATTAGCTCTCCTCAGTCTTTGGCCTCGTCGTCTGTCGCTGGACTGAAGCTGTCAAACAGCTGGGCTGCCGGTCACGCGGACGTCTTCCTCGCCGCGCGCACGGCTCGTTTCTTATTACTTAGATCCATCATGTAAATTGTTTAATGTCTCGTGGCTCGGCAGAGGCTTCACATTCCGGTGTACAGGGCGCGGAGTTTCAAACTTTTCAAACGTTCAATCACCCTTCCCCGTGGATTGTTATCACCTCTGGTTAAACTGGCCATTAACGGAACTACGTCACAATAAATTAATAGAGCTCCGTTTGTGTTAAGGCCTGAGCGCAACATGGCGCCCTGAAGAGGCCGACAAAGCCCAAGTACGGAGAGATGGATGGTTCCCAGCACTGGGATACAAGAGAATATTAACATTAGACACAGCCTGGCATATGTTAAATTATTACTACTCATTTTATAAATTAACATTTTATTTGAAAAGCAATCCAAAGTAATATTATGTAATATAACCTGGCCTTAATTCGCAGAGGAAATCCCTTTCATACGGTTGAAATATTCGCATGAAGCTAACAGTGGACTTTCCCCCCTGAAACAATACACTGATATTTAGAGAACATTTTGCTGTCATTGCTTACTCTATTCTGTGTTAGCCTACAAATTGATATTTTTCAGTTTCCTGTGACTTTGAGTGAGTGGACTTTATTTTTCTGTTTTTATTTGGTCTATTTAAGAGCTCAAATGAAGTGTATTGTTGACGTGTTCCTAGACAAAACCCATTCTTATGTTTCTAGACAAAACCCATTCTTACAGTAGGCTCTGCTGAAGCCTTTAAGGGCATTTCGCAGTTAATCCAGTGTCTTCTACCCTGCGCTTTGAAGAGAGGAGGATTGTGCTTTCGGAAATCCCTCTCTGCTCTCTAAATCCAATTCATTATCTGT